GTTCGGTTTCGGTTCGGTTCGGTTCGGTTTTGCATAATAAAATTATAACCAAACGGTTATATTTTCCGGTTTATTCGGTTCGGTTTTAGATCGGTTCGGTTCGGTTATGATATATTTTTTTAAAAAAATTATTAATCTTACATAAATTTAAAAATATCTATTTAAATAAATGCACAAAATGATTAATCATGTAAAATAAAATTATAAAAAAATCTAAAAACTTCAATAATTAGGATAAAAATTAAAAACATTACATTTTATGGTTTATTGAGTGAAATATATAAGGTTAAAAGTGAAGTATAAAAAAATAATACTAATAATAATGAGGATAAAAATTAAAATATTAAAAAAACTCAATAACCGTTCGGTTAACCGCGGTTATTCGGTTATTAACCGAACCGAACCGAACCCGAACGGTTATTCAACTTCCTCAACCGTTCGGTTATTCGGTTAATAACCGAAATGGCCACCCCTACCTGGACAGTTAAATTTGTCGAAAGCTTTGGAAAGAAAAATATAAAAAACTTTTGATTTTATATATATATATATATATGGATACATACACCTAACAACCTATATAAACTAGTCAATTACATATAAATATGTGGTTAGACAGATTAATCGATATAATATTTTTGTTCATGTATGAGCTTTTTTTTATATTTTAATTATGAATGAAGTCGTATGGATATGTCATATGTGTACAAGGATAAGTTGTTACATGGAAATCAAATAATTATTTGATTCTATTTTAATAGTTTATGTTCATAATAGACTTGTTAATAGACGAATCAGATAACATAATTTATATTAAATGTTTTTTAGAAAATTGTTTTCATATTATCATATATAAAGAACCTATAAATTTGAATTTTGAAATAAGAAAAATATTTGGAAACTAAGTCATCATTATCAATAAATATTTCTGCAACTCCATAAAAAAAATACAAAAAGGGTTGCATGCAAAGAGTGTCAACGAATAGAGCCAAACAGAGTTAAATTAATTAATTAGCCCATTTTGTTGGTTTGATTTCAATTAACAGTCGGGTTAGCGAATATTATTTAATTTATCATATTTTCCCAGACCAATAATTTAATTTTCTTCGAGACAAAAGCTATATAAAAATATGAAGATAAAGGTAACTAACCAATCATAATAATATTTGTTTTTCTCCTGAAATTAATTTATTTCTTGGACTTATATGTGGTTTTTGACATATACACTTGAATAATTTAACAGTACATCAATTTTTTCTCCTGAAAATATTTTTTCAAAGAATAATTTTAAAAAATGATTCATATTGTTTTAGTTTGAGAAAAAATACAGATATGAAGGGTATTTAATTTATTTTCCAGAATTAAATATAGGATCATAGCTGATATGCAACCGACAAATTTGTTCATTTAATCAATAATCAACGATTATCAAAAAGTAAATAGATAATTTATTTGAAAAAAATATAATTATGTAATAAGGATTTATTATTTTTTTAGTTAGAGAAAGATGGGCCAATTCGTTTAAAAAAAAAAAGATGGGCCAATTGTAGGTGAAAAATTAGCATTTTCCTTTTCTTAATTTGTCAAAGTTGGCGGAAGGTCAGGACAAAAAGTTAATCGGCTGTCTATCAGAGTCTGACCAAGTCCATCGTGTAAGAACTTAATATATATATACATATATATATATATATATATATATATATTTATTTTTATTTTTATTTATATATGTTTATAAAAGTTAGGATTGTATTTGTTGCTGAAGTGACACGTATTTTCATACAAACATTTTGCTATTTTTAATAGTTTTAATATTTGTTTTGTGTTTAAAATTATAACTGAGAAAAAAATCAAATCTAACCATTTGAATCAAATTGTAATTTTTTTAATATTATTTTCATATAGCATGTTCCGTGAATTAAATTTAATCAAATCTAAACCAAAGAAAATTAGAAATAAATTTAACCTTATGCAACTTTTTTTTGTTTTAATTTTTTAATCAAAATTGATCTAAATCAAAATTAATCTGATTTAATTTGTTCGAATCTATAATAAGGTTCAAACGGATTAAAGTTTAAATAAATTAAATCGAATTTGATTTAATAACACATGTCATTACTAATATATGGTGGCTGTTATATTTGGGTTTTCATTTTTTATATTTATAATGATTTTAGAAATATATTATTAGGAAAAAGAAAATAGACACAACACAAATATTAAAAAGATAGCTAAACATCTCAAAATATTTCTGCTCCTTAAAATTAAAATCGACTGATAGTATTATAAAAACTATAAAACTTTATTACACATTGTTATGTATAATGGACTGCTATTTTTCGTATCGATATCATTTTAACTCATAAAATAAGTTTTCTATCTTCATACTTTACTCAGTTTTTTAATGGACATCTTTCAAATAATATGAATTATATGATCAGAAATCAATTAAATGAATAAGGAATCGGCAGAAATTTGAAAAGGTTTTACGTTGTACTTGATTCTCCGGCAACAAGTTACATATGGACATATAAGCAAGGGTTTGAGACTAATTAATGCCAAAACCGAACTTGTTATAGAATACACCAAGTGGAAAGAGAGGGCGGAGGAAGATAGGGCAATGAAAATACGATAAACAAATTAAATAATTCATAATATATAAAAACAATCTTAATCTAAAATACAACAAAAATAGTTGTTATCCATAGAATTCGAATACGAATATAAAAGGCTTAGTTCTCTTAGTTATAGGAATGCAAAAACGAGTCTGATTTTTGAGCCAACTCGCGAACAATTTCAGTTTTTTATCGATATGGACTGAAAAAAATATGAACTCGTTGCTCCAAAAAAAATATTAAAATTGTTTTTTCAAAAAAATATTATTTTATTATTATTTTAATTGTTTATTAAAATTTATATTTTTTTTCATTGGTAAAATTGAAACTGTTTGAACTGAACAAAATTTTTTGACGCAACAAAACGGGTCACAAATAGATTGAGACAAAAACGAATTGACTCGGATCGAGCTAGCTTGCTCGGACCGTCCGTTTTATACCCTACTTGATCGTTAAATTTGTACTCATCCCGGATAAAGAATAACCCAAGTCGCAATTGGTAATTCAAAATTTTAGATTAGAGTGACCGCTATAATAAATTACGCCCCTAAAAAGGATGAAATAATCCACGAAAGGCATAATTAGGAACCTAGAAACAAACAACACGTTTTCTTTTGACATAAAGTCCATGAATGAAGCCGAGAGTGGAAAAAATGCGAAGCCAAAGCCCAAAGGAACAAAATTATGGTCAAAATGTTATAAATGCGTTATTTTTATTTATTAGAGTAATATTTTTCTTGCCACATACATATTATGTAAACACGTCAAATTATCGGGGACCATTTATATTTCATTATCTTTGTCGTCGTCTTCATACTTGTGTTTGCGTCTAATTGATTGAAGGAAAAGCTTCACTGTTTGTTTTTAATAATTTTTGTGGGGACGACGATGACTAATTGACTTAAGGGTTGGTTTTTATTGTACATTAAAACGTATAATAATATACGAATCTATTAAAAAATTGTAAATAAACATACGGACTTTTAGATTTCTAAATAAATGAATTTTTCTTAACTCCTATATTAAACCTTAAACTTTTTAAAAATAATGAAATTAAATCATGAATTTTTGAACCATTTTCAACGGTGATGTTTGAAAACCGTTTAAAAGTTCAAGTTTCAATGTATATTTGTTTTTGGAAATTTTAAAGTCACGTATATTTATTTGGAATTTTTTTTCATAAGTTTGTTTGTGTATTAATTAACGTGCGATATTCTCCATATCTTGTTCACAAGTTAAGAAGCATTTTTTTTGGTTGGATCGAGGACTTTTTCTTTTTCTTTGGAAAAAAAATATATAATTTCAACCATTGTTTTTAAACTATTAAATATTAATATTTCGTTTCAATTTAGTAATTTGCAGATTTAATGTTTATGTTTTGATGGTTCGAGCATGACAAATGATATCAAGGTTATCATCGACATGTCACATGTGTACCATATAACTATTTTTGGCTGCTCAATTGACCACTTCCACAAATGACGAAAAAAACATTTTACTTAGTCGATCACTTCCTCCTCGTGATAAGTTTGAATTCAAGGGTTCATTGTAAGACTTTTAATCTAGTTTCTCAATCATCGCCTTGGTTATGAGCAGTGCAACTGAAACGTGGTAATTTCTTAGTCTGCCATGGATTAAGGTATCCTCAAATCTTTGTGATTCAACATATAAGTGTTTTTCCTCTTGAAATATATTACATGCACGATTATTTGTTTATAGTTTTAGATTTTATGTTTTCTTCTACTGGTTAAACCTTAGATGGATTAATGAATTGCATGTTAAAGATCCTCATAGAAACTTCCAACAGAAAGATATTTTAACGTATTAGGAAGGATCAACAATAACGTCTATAAGTTAGAATTTTCACGTCAGTTTAACATGAACTCTGCGTTTAACGTTGTTGATCAAGATTTGGAACCAATTCTTTTTGTCGAGGAAGGAAATGATGAAAACATCATGGATGCACATGGACGAGTGGAACAAGAGTATGAATGAGCCAGGGAGCATGAAGGCTTGCCGATTCAAGGACCAATTTCACGCTCATAAGTAATGATGTTGGGAAAGAATACAAAGTTGTAAGGAAATCGGATTGAATACATTCCTTTTACCAAAATAAATAAATAAATTACATTCATTCGCATGATTCGAGGTGGGTTTCAAGAACAATTGTGATCTGATCGAGCATGCATGTGTAGGAAGAACAACACTTGGGCGTGTGAGGGGCTGAGAAATAAGAGGCCAAAACACGACACTTCATTAAAATGGGGTTTTTGGTTTCGGCTCTATGTGTTTCAACTAAGTTCTAGTCCCATTGGAACATGGTTTACTTTCTTTTACTAAAATTAAGCAATTTTGGGTATTTTAGGGTTTTGTTTAGTCATTTAAATAGAAAAATCGAATTGTTTCCGAGTTTTTAATGAAGTAGAGGTTTTCTTCTTGTTGTTCTTAAGTTTTTTAACCTTTGGATTTCGAAGTTTTAGTGTTTAATTCGACTTATCGTTGTGTTTATGTGGTGTCATTAACTTTTTCTGAGAGTAATTAGTAGAGTTTCAATTGGGTTTAGAAAGTTTTTGGCAAATTAAGACTGATTCTAGATTCGATTCATGTGTTATTAAAGGGTTTTATACAACTCTCGATCTGCATTAATATCAATGTGGAAAATGAAATATGAAACTAATACAAAATAATTTTGATTAAAAAAAGGAGTTAGTTTGATTAAAATTACGCCCATTAAAAACAAATGATATGGATGCTTTTAATATATGAGAAGTCACATATATATATATATATAAGTAATTTCAATCAAATGGCTTGTTTTCGATCCTAAAATTAGTGTGGATCTCTATTTAGTATATCTAGTTAAAAAAAAATCGTAATTTGTCTTTTAATAAATTAAAAAATATATATATATATATAAATAAAAATTTACGAAGTATAAATTCTAAAAACAAATGCAAAAAAACGGGTGAATTATTGCTTGCACGTTATCATAGAGGAAAAGCACCGATCCACTTCAATTACAGAAAGGGCAAAACCCACAATCGCATGATTTTACAAATATATATATATAAAAGAAAGAGCAAATTATTATTTTTTTATCCGCAAAAGTGTAAACACAAATCCCATCATCACTAGGATCAGTACACACCCTTCTGGAACTGGCAAACTCGCTTGTGTTGCTTGCCCTGCAAGTCACGCCACCAAGACAAAAAAACCCTAAATCACTTTTCATTCTCTTTTCCGATTCATTGGAAGTAGCAAGTTCAAAAGCAAACATCTTAATCCAAAATAAAAAGAAAAAGGGAATCGAAGAATTTATGTGTTCGAACCTCCCCGGTATAGGTCTTGTATTGAGGGGCTTAACCGAATTAGAAGGCTCCTCGGTTAATGGCGTCTGCGTTTGCGTCTCCCAACGCAGCCTCCTTTAGGTACGTGTCGGCGAGTTGGACTCTCTTAACGTTGTCTTGCTCCTGAACAAGCATTGTTCCATATTCCAGAAGCTTCTGGATGGTCATGGCGGGCTGCTCGAAGGTCGGGAGAGCCTCCCTCGAGTTCACCAGTCTCTTCCCGATCTTCTCGACTCCGACTCCCTCGATGAACTTCCTCACTTCGTCATCGTATACTCTCGCCCTCAATGCACCGAAGAAATCTGCAACACCAAACGGAATAACGTCTCTAGGGTTTGATCTTATGAGTTCCGAGACAACATTGTGCTTTTTTTAGGGTTTGGGGGAAAGTTTACCGATGGATTGGCCGGGGAATTGGTCGACGAGCTTGACAATGTCCGCGTCCGGGACATTGTCTGTCCTGAAGATACCTTTGCAGACACCGACACGGTCATCACGTGTGGGAGCCCAGTAGAACTTCTCCATACGACCGTCACGGATGAGAGGAGCGTACAGAGTGGAGAAATCGTTACCGGTGACAATGATGGGGACACGAGCATTCTCTTCCTTGTTGTACATCCCAGGAAGCTGGACGTTTGTTGGGTTATCAGCTATGTTCATGAGGGTGGCGTTCACCATCTGGTTATTGACAGTGTACTGAGTTGTGCCTCCCATACGTCCAGCTCCTGCGTCTAGATCGTTGATGAAGAGGCAACACATCTTCCCCTTCTTGATTATGTCCGCTGCTTCACGGTACCTTTGTCTGATCAGCTTTGCCGGCTCTCCTGCGTTTCCACTCTCCAACTCTCCTGCACTCATCATGATCGGGCTGCAAAGAAGGGAAGTAAAAGATCGAGATTTTAGTCGAGACCCGTTTCTGGATATGGTGAGATCGATGCTGGGTTGAGGGTGGAAGATCGGAAAGGTTACTTACGTGATGCCCATCTTGGCGAAGACGAGCTCACACTGGAAGGATTTACCCTGTCCTTTGCCTCCCCAAATACCCAAGATAAGTGGAACCTATAACAGATGGCTTCAGGTTAGTACAGCGTATTCGGAAATCTTGGTGTTAAAACCCGAGAAATCGGAGAGCAAAAACGATACCTTGATGTTTGGCAACTTCAAGAAGTTCTTGGTGAGGTGAACAATGAGCTTGTCCATGAAAGCAGGGGCGATGTACAAACCGTCCATGGTGTTGTCCAAATTGTACCTATATAGAAATGATTATTTCAGTCCAAAGCTAAACTAACAACCAAAGAGACAAGATTCTTATCATAACGGAAACTTACTGTCTGAGACCCTGGCTGATGTACTCGTAGGAGCTTAGGACAGGGTGGTGGGTGCCGGTTCCCATTGGGGCCTGGAAGAGCGAGTCGACCATACCCTTTCCGCGGGTGATGTCTTGTTGGTCATCCGAAATGTCAGTGACCAGACCCTTCCACCTGTCTCCATCGGTCTGTTTTCCCTCCTCCACAGCCACGATCTTGAATGACTTGCTCTTCACGTTACTGTTCTGCGGGAATCTTGAGGCGGTCACAAGCTTCTTGCCCAAGAAGGATGAAGTTGGAGCTGATGCAGATCCTGCTCCAGATCCATTCAAGCTCAACTGCAAATAAATCCCATTCCAAAGCGATCTACTTTAGTGTCTTTGATCTTGAAGACCTCAAAGACACCAAACGCCAAAGATCTCTACTTTAATCTCCCTTAATTGTAACCGTTTACATACAATTTCACGGCAGCATATGTTTGGAACAGAGTTCTGAGAAACGCATCAAGTAATATAAAGGTCCAAACTTTTACAGGAACTGCGAAAATTGAATCGACCCATTTGTCTAAAACAGAGATATTAAACCACTAATGAAACGGAAATTAACAGAAAGTGAACAACTGTGGAACTCAAGCTTTTGACGAGGCGTATGTGGTTTTACCGGAGCTCTGTTGACGTTGATTGCACCGACGGGGGTCACGGCGGAGGCCATTTCCGGAGACGGAGGCGGCGGATGTTTACTTAACAAGCGGCGGAGGGATTGTTTACAACGGAAGGTAGCAGTGGGAGTTGCAGGAGTGGAGAGAATTGATGGCTTATAAAGACAGTGGAGAACCCAAAATCGTTATCCCTTCGAGTTCCAGACTCAGTTGCCTAACCGCCACAAGTTCCCGATTTCCCAGGTGCCACGTGGCACGCGAAGGAAGAGGGTATGGAGTAGATGTTCTGATTGGTCCACGTGGCATCATATCTTTCTGAGGTTACCCTGGGAGGAGTGTTCTGTGCCACTGGAAAAACTATGGGTTTTGTTTGGTCGCCCGTATTGATGTTTTTGTCTTGACCCTTCCTCGAATCCTTTCTACAAATTTTTATTTTTTTTATTGGGATGGAAAATGATAATTTAAAAGATGAGGTGAACAGAGCAATGTGTGATCAGAAAATTTCTTTTATCCAAATTTTTTTTATTTTAAAATTCCAGAAATATTTGAGGTTGACATATTCTCTAAGCTAGAAAACAGATTGATTTATAAAAATGATAATTCGATACATTATAACAACCACTATGACAATGTCAAGATGTTGTTTTGGAAGAAATAAATAAGGAACTATCTCAAAATATTGCATTAAATTCATTTTAAAATAGGTTTAAAACATTAAAAAATATTTTGAAGTAAAAAAATAATTATTATCTTCTTTCTTACCATAATTCACTAATCAAACTTTTCGTTATTGTTGATTGTGGAATAACCGTATAAACTATTAATTAAGGCCACGATAAAAATATAAGTTAAATATGTTTTTTTTAAAAATGTATTTTAAGAAGAATTGAATTAACGATAATTACCTTACCTTTTTTCTTCTTATATAAAAAAACAGTGAACCTTTTTGTGAGTATATAATTAATTTTCAAAGTGAGTCTATACTATAAAGATTATACATTTTAAACACTACAACAAAAAAAATGAGAACATCCGAAAATAATATGTAAATCAAATCATCTTTAAAAAGAAATAAATATGTAAAATGACAATTAATTTGAAGAAAGCAGGGCAACAATGATTTCCTTTCTAATTTTGTAAAATAATACTAACTTCATATAATTGGGTGCAAGATTTGAAAAAAAAATCGTATGGCAACAAAAAAGAATGGATGTAAAAGTGATAAATGCGTGAGAAAAGAACCCAAAACAATCTTTAACTTTTAAAATATTCATTTAAAATCTTAACTATACTAAATCTCTATTTAAAAAATCTAAACAAATTTTAAAAAACTCAACCGTCCACAAATAAAAGTTCTAATTATATAAAAATATAATATATATATATATATATATATATTTATATTAATTTATTTATTTTGAATTCAATGTGAAATATATTTATAATATTAATTTATGATTATAAATATAATTTTAGAAATTGTGATTAAATGGATGAATCAATAAATATAATAGTTTTTTTTTATAAAATAGTGATTCATTTGGATTCATGGATAATTGTTGATTTGTAAAGGACATTTATAAAATTTAACAGATTTTGTTTGGGTGTTTTTAAAAAATTAGAAATGGGTCTAACCACTAAATGAATGGTACCTGCGTTTGCATTTAATTGGAACGAGTTTTTTTTTGTCTCCATTCATTTACCTTTCACAAATCATTGTTTATGACATCATGATTCCCCGACCGCTAATATTACCCTTCACGTTGAAACTCCATAGATTAGATGGGTTGCCGACCCAATAATAATGCTTGATGATTAAATTAAATCCATTTAATTAATCTTATTAAATGGACATTATATAAAAAATAACATTTTGCTATTTTTACTTCAAGACATACTCTTCTCCAATTATAATCATGTGACCCAAAATATAGTGTGATCACATTTTGATTTTATTGATTATAACGTTAAATTTATTATGATCACACTGATTCATTATATTCATACCTTATATATTTTACTAATAATTTGATTAAAACATCATAAATTTAACGTTAGGAACAATGAGATCAACATGTGACCACACTATATTTCGGGTCACATGGATCACATGGTTACAACTGGAGAAGATTATGTGTTGAAGTCAAAATAGTAAATTAAGGGTATTTTTTATAATGACTCTATTTATATGAGTTTCACGTAGGGGTGGGCACGGATCGGATATCCGGAGTTTTTAAGATATCTGTATCCGTATCCGATCCGTACAAATACATAATTTTACTATTCGTATCCGATTCGTATATTTCAGATATTCGTTGTTTCGGATATCCGTAAAAAATCACAGATATTTACAAATATCCGTATCTGAATTAAAATATGATAAAAATGAAAAATATACGCACAAAAGAATCTATAAACACAAAAAAAAACTCAAAAAAAATATTTTTTGAGTTTTTTTATCGTACATTCCATCAAAACACACACAAAATCCAAAAAAAAATTTATTAGACAATTAGATTGCATATTTACATAAATATTTCGTAAAACCTTGCAATAAGATTTTTTTGTCAAATAATATATATATATATATGGAGATATGACGTTTAGAGATATTACTCCTTGTAAGAAGGAGATATATATATATATATATGAAATATAACAAAACCAGTGAAAGAGAATTTTCAGATCTAAAAACAAATGAAAACTATCTAACGATCTAAAAACAAATGAAAACTATCTAACGAATAATCTCTACCTTTGATGAAAAATCTACTCATCTTAGAATGAAAATGAAGTAGATGCACTGAAGATCTTCCAAAAACAAGATGAAGAAAAGAAAAAAAAACAAGATGAAGATGACGAACGACGGAAAGAGGGGAAGAAAAGATGCTGGGTGAGAATGATAAAAAAAACTAGCATATTTTTTATTTATTTTAAAATGATCCCTTAAATATAAATTAATTATTAAATTATCCTATAATTTATAATATTACTAAAAGGTACGGATCGGATCAGATATGTCGGATAATTCTATTTTGATATCCGATTCGTATTCGACAAATATTTTGAATCTAATATCCGTATCCAATCCGTGAATTCCGAATATCCGAATTTTCGGTTCGGATACGAATCGAATAACAGATCGATTCAGTTTTTCGGATATTATGCCCACCCCCAGTTTCACCTATCTGGGTTATAGGTTAAACCCAATAAACTCATTATACCATTAATCATTAATCTAAATGATTTGAAAATATAAAAATCGAATTCGAATCAAACGAAATTATATTCAAAACCGAATGCGAATTCAACATAATTCTACATCTGAATTCTAATCGAATCCAAACCGAAGAAAATCCTATGTAAAAATCGAATTCAAAATGAATGAAATCAGTAGAAATTAAATTTAAATTAAATCAAATCGAATGTATGTTATTTTTATTCAATTTTTATATATTCAAATCATTTAGGTTAAAAGTACTTTTGAATAATGACATCATTCCCCACCGAACTTTTGAAACCATCAATTTTCCGATTTTCAATATCTTTTTTAATTATTCCAATTTCACGATGACAAACTCATTTTCTCATCTTATATTCTTATTATTTTCAAAGTTAATTAAATATTTTTTATAACATTTATAACTATAAGAATTGTTTTATATTCATTTTCAAAAATATATATTATTTTCTAAAATAATTCATCACAATTTAAACTTTTTATGATTTTATGATTCGATTGGAATTAAGGTAACTTTAAACATTATGCCTAATTACATATATAACATTTCAATTCCGTTTTACGTTACGGAGATATCAATCCTCAAATCATAGTTCCAAAGAAACCTTGTAGGACTTTCATATATGTAAAACGGTTCACAACGATTTTTAGTTCCTCGTAGATATAAATTTACTGTTCAACAATTACCCTTTCCCTATATAAAAAGTTATAAAATTTCATTTTCACACCATTGAGATTAAGCATAATAACTCGTATATATTCACATGTTGCACACACACTGACGACAAAATATAAAGACGAAAAGTAACATGGATATATGGAATTCACTTCGATCAATCCACGGCTGGTACGGTTCTCCGTAATCAAACCGTACCGAACAAAAAAATCGGTACCGTTCTCGAATCGAATAGTTCAAAATTTTCTAACGGGATTTGTTTTTAGAAAATCGAATTTTTTCGAACCCAAATCAATTTTTAAAAAAATCCAAAAAATCAAACATTTCTTTAAAAAATTCCAAGTTTTTCTTAATAAAAACCGAAATCAAATCGAATATCATATAAAATCGATTGGAACCTGAAACGAATACAGAAAGAACCAACCCTAAAATCACCAAACCCCACCCACACGCACTTGCGTGTACTTTTGACATTTTGCTTAAAAGAAGCTTATAATGTCATCAACTACCCTTTCTTGACAATTAGCCCTTCAGACCAGACCGAACAAGAAAACGGAAACAAGTACATGTCTGAACCCAACAACAAGGATACTCTCTTAAAAGAGATCTCCAAGTCAAACGACACAAGATCATTCTTTTCAGGCACATGATGAGACTTTGAACCAATATAGCCCTAGAAATATAGAAGCTTTTGTGAACCACTTACCTGCATCGAGGGAAAGGGATGATAGCAAAACTCTCTAGATCTTTGGCAAAATATCCAACACGATTCTACAAGCGTTTCCTTCAGCAAGAAGCTATTCGTAATCGAAACTAAGCACGTCGAAACCACTATAGCCACAAACAACAAACCCTAAGAGAGTTTTCGGGTTCCCGCAAACATTTGAGAACAAAAAAGAAGAAGCAAGCCCTAGTGCCCTAGTATTCAAAAGACGGAACCAGTCAGCTAAAGAAACTCGGTAGATCCATCCACAGCCTCATACGAGATATCTATCTACTTCAATACGACGGAGGAGGACGAGGAGGAGTACCCCAAAACACATCATGGTGAGGCATTTGCCCGTTTGTCATGAAATTAGGAGGCATGTTGTACATCGGGATTGACCCTTCATTGCTATTATTCCCGGTCTCGTCTTTAGCATTATCATCATCAACATTATCATCATTCTCCTCCTTCGCTTCATCTCCTTGCTCCTGCTGTTGCTGCTCCGGTTGGTTATTATCCTCTATCGGTAACCTCTCGTATGTGGCATTGCTGAACGTTGCAGCAATGACTATAACCGGCCCCGAGGCCACTAGAGGCCCTGCCACACAGCCTCCCACCACCTGTCCTTGCCCTCCCGCAAGGTATATGGTCAAGCCAGCGGCTGCAGCCGGAGAGCCCGAGGTGGGCAAAAACGCACCGGACATTGACAGAATCTCGAACCGTCCATGCAAGCTCACCACCTCACCAGGCACTCCTGGCTGTCGCAGCGTCACATTGGTCACCACGCCAGTTCCGCTAAGCACTGAAACACCACGGCATCGCCGCCTGGAGAAGGCGTTGAGGCTATCAACCACATCAGAGCCGCTGGCTACCTCAAGGACGTGGCTTTGCAGTGAGTTTGGGCTCTCCTTGGTGACCACAACGGGTGGTCTCGGTTTATTCTTCGAACCGGGTGGTCTGCCCCTCCGTCGTCGACCCGTTGAGCCCGATCGGGACCCGGGTTGGTTATCTTGACACGGTTCTTCTCGGCTGTTCTGTTCTTCTTGGCTTTGGGCATTAGGGCTTCCGCTGTCGTTAGTGTTGGTGAAGTCTTGGTCCAATCTAGGATCCGATCGGGTCAGCCTGACCCGATCTTCGTCTGTCGGGTTCGTCGTGTTCATGAGGTGCAGCGATGGAGCTGATGATGTAACTGGGAGGTGATCGACGCCTCTCATGGCGACATTTCCGACCCACCAAGGGCTCGCCATTGTTTGTTTCTCGGGAAAATCGATCTTCAAGAAAGAAAAAGAAAACTTCAACTTCTCTTCTTCTATTTGCAACTCTTGCAGCACCCTTATCTCCTACCAGGGAGAGAATCCAAATACCCAAATTGGAGAACTTACCAGAGGGAGGGAGAATCCAAAAACCTTATCTTTATAGCTTATATTGCACCCACATCCAGACCGACATGTTGCATGAACCAGACACAACAGACATGGGTTTCATTTGTTTTCTTCCATATCCCTAACAAAAACCCTGAAAAAGAAGGAAAAAAAGGGAACGAGAAAGAAAAAGACATCAGATCCAGCAAGCAGAAACAACAAAACCTAGCTCCCAAGATTTCTGAAACACACCTCCAAACCCACCAGTAAGAACCTAAAAGAAAAACCCAGAAACAGTAAAATCAGAAAGAAAGAAAAAAAAAAGCTGGAGAACAAGAAAATCTTGTGTACCTTTCATGATGATACAGTCATCAATTAATACAATTAGAATGCTACAACGGGGAGAAGATAGAAGAAGAAGAAGATGATGATTTTGGTACCTTGAATACAGAGAATCAACAGTTGAAAGCGCCTCCTCTATAAACTCAAATCTGCAAGTGGAGAGGGTTTTCCTTCCTGTTCAGACAGGCGCACTTAAACCACCCTTTTTTTTTTAACTCTCGAAGTCTGTGAGAAGAGAGGTGCGTACGTTAAAAAAGTGGCCACTGGCCAGGCGTACGATAAGGTCAGAAGAACAAACTTTTGATTTGATCCTTCGTTTTATTACAGAGTACGATATCCGAAGAGGCTTCTGTCTTAAAGGAGTTTTTTTTTTTTTTTTTTTTTTTTGGTGGTTCAGTGTCTTTGGGGCCTTTTAACCTTTAGGTGTTCGTGCAAAAGTTTCTGTGAGCTTCTCTAGGTTCCCCCATGTCTTTCTCATCAATTCCCATCGCTCCATCTCGTTAAATTACCTATTTACCCTCGACCTCGTAAATTTTGACGCGAGAGATCTAAATTGATAGGCATTCAACGTTACGAGTTTTTTTTTTTGTTAAACAACGTTACGAGTTATAATATGCAGTTTGATATTTTCTCAAATCATTGAGAAAACTCGCTTTCATTTGAAATAGCTATGCAACTATGTTTTAAAAAAAACTAAGAAAGATGTAAATCAAGACGAAATTTGCTGAAAATTTCCAAAAAAAACATCAAACTTGTTGAAATATCTTACAAAAATCTTTAATTTACAAACTTTCAATAAAATACATTTATTTCTTCGTATCTTTCAGCAGAAACACTGAATTTATAAATCACTTCCAAATTAAATACATAAACACACATATACACATATATACATGTTAGTATGTGTGTGTATGTATATGCGTATATATATTTGATATTTTATTCTTTATTTTTATATTTTTATTTTCTTGACGTGGGGTTGACGATGGGGTTGACGATGAAATACAGTGAAGATATATCAAAATTACTTTATATTCATTAAAAAAAATATTACATCATAAATCAGATGTGTTACTAGTATCATATCGCAAAAAATTTAGTCAATTTGATTTGAAATCGGTTTGAAATTAATTTTTTTTAAAAAAGTAAATATATTTTATTGAAAATTTGCAAATTTAAGAATTTTTGTCCTGTATTTTTTCAAATTCAATATTTTTTTCGGGAATATTTTTAGCGAATTTGACTTACTTTTTAATAATGATATAAAAAGCGCTCAAATTTATTAGGGGAAAACTTAAAAACATCATCAGTTATTTATTTTATAAAAAATAACCTCCTATTCCTCGTTATTTTATATACATGGATGTATATGCCTACAGACATATATGTATACTTGTACGCATAAATAGTAATTACAAATATATTTATGCTTATACAAAGACATATATATACGCACACTTGTATACACATCTATATATAGATATTGATATATATTTTATATATGTTTATTCGCTCTTATAGACATATATACAATTATATATTCTAAAATATCCAAATGTTGTTTGTTACCTCAAAATAAATTTTGACTAAAAAAAATATTTTGATGCGATTAAATTTGAAATAAAAAAATAATTTGCAAATTCAATTGGATTTATATGTTGGGATTTATTTGAAACGAATGAAAAAATTTGTGTAAAGTGATTAAGCGCAATTATGCCTTGATGAGAAATGGATTGAATTTCAAGGGAAAATTCGAGAAAGTCTTCATGAGCAGGGGTAATCAATTCGGGTTTCGGTTTGAGTTCGGGTTCGGTTATAGAAAGACTATAAACATTCGGTTTCTATATAAATTTCGGTTCGGATTCGTTTTTTTGTTGTAAAAAACTCATTTCTCAAGAAAATTATCGGTTTTATTATTATTTTTTTAATCGGTTCGATTTCGATTTTTTTTGGATTTAGAAAAATCATAACCGTTTGATTTCTATATCGGATTCGGTTCGATTACAATTATATCTTATTCGGTTTGATTCGATTCGACTAACCAAAATGACGATTGATGAGTATTCATGTAAGACGTGTTAAGGCAAAGAGCACGAAAGTGAAAACTCGAATTGCGGATAAATAGAAGATTTTGTTGAGATACACTCGTAAACAAGACCCGACAAAAAGGATGGTCGAAGATTTTTGGTTAAATATCTTCATGGGTAAATCAGTCATTTTATTTTATTGGTGTTTTCATTATAATCGTAGTTTACATGAACCTTTTTCTTTTCGGTTGTAATTTCTCAATAATACGATGAATCCAAATCCTTCCAGAGACATAGGATCGTACCGATCTGAACTCATTAATCTATTGTATCGTTATTTTTTACAATATCTGTTTCAATCGCAAACTGATAAATGAAATCAAACGAAAGAAAAATCCCAATATTATTATTATTATTATTATTATTTATAATAACTTACATTAAAATCTAAAACACGCTTTACATAATAACTTTGCTAAAAAAAATTTAAAAACAATGAAAATATACATAGAACACATATTTTGTACTAAATTCTCTATATAATATGGATACGTCTCGATATTTGAAATTTTAGTACACCTTAACCTGAAAGTTCGAGTTACATAATTTCTTATCTAAATTCGTACCCGTGAAATCGGATACTGGTATTAAAAAACTCGCGAGATAATTATTGGATACTCGTGAATACCAATTTTAATTATTTTTTATTTTTTAAGCATATTCATATATAAATATTCAAAATCATTCTAAATCAATTTAAAACGCACATTGAAATCAAATAACATAACACAAAATGAAAATATATAATAAATGTTATAGATTTAGCTATTAAATTTTGAATAAAAGAGAGAAAATATGAAAACAATGAGTTAAATAATCTCCTTAAAAAATTATATATTAACAATATATTTTATAAATACATCTAAACTCTAAAATTTAAAGAGTAATTGTGTATATCTAGATACCCGTGGACACCCTGAGATAATATTAATTATCTGACAATTAATATCATTGTCCGAGTCTCACTCCTCTAAATATCCGAAGTTTTTGGTATTCGACCGCGGATTGGACCGGAAATCGGAAATTTAGTTTTTTTTTTTTGCCACCTTTAATATATATCGGGGGTGTTGGAATATATTTTTGACGATATTATATGTATCGTGGTTGTTCGGGTGTTGTTCTTAAAGATATCCAAATAAAACTTGAATGAATAAAATTTAATTCTTCTATTGGAAGGGGAAAAATATTGTCATCCGGTGGATCATATCCCAATATAGATATGTCTATTGAAATTAACATATACTATATCTCAAAGGAAGTAATTGCAAATAGGCCACTTCCACGATGGCGACGGGGTAAGGAGACGTAATCGAACTCCATATTCAGATCAATTTTCCAATTATTTATCTAAATTTGGATAATTTAATCGGTGTAACGGGACGCAAAACGTTTGTTTCGGTCTGAATTCAGACATCAAATTTGGGGAGAGATCATATATTCTAAATCATTTGACTGATTTTCGACCCGAGATAGCAGTCACAAAAAAAAACTTTCTAAATATTTTCATATCGGATCTTTGGCCAATTACATTTCTCTAAGGTTCAAGCGATCAGTCGGGTAATTATTTCTAAGATCCAATCGATCTTCGGTTTATATTTTATATTTTATAGAAAAAAAGATATTAGTTCTCAGTATATGACTATGTGAAAGATTTAAACAAATTTCAGTGTTTTTACTTTAAAATTTATCTTTTAAAAAGTGATAAAGAAGGAATGATCCAGGGAGCAGAAAAGATTTTAGAGTTTTTTAAAATTAAAAAAAAAAAAGATTATTTCGGTGTTTTCATCAAAATTCAATCAGTTTTCAAGATCGCAACGGTCAAAAATAGTAAACACCGCGTTTGAACGAGTCGCAACCAGACCACTTCTACCACTTAAATATCTAATTATCATAACGAAAAATAAATCCATTGAATCCTTTTTTATATTACCAAACCGGTTATTTCGGTTTAGAGAAATTATTTGGTAGGCCTAAAAGCCCTAAACTAAGGCCCAAAAAAGTGAGGTGAGACCCTAAAACTTTCTTACCACGTTCTCATCATTTATTCTCTCGAGAATCTAGCATAGAGGGGGAAAAAAAGAAGGAAAAATCCCCTAAAAATAAATTTATGCAAAAAAAAACGATAAATAAATAAAGCAAATATTTATCTAAAAAACAGTTTCGTAAATGGTCATTAATTATCGTCGATAATTAATTATAAATTGTTTGAAATTGTTTTATACACATATTTTAAACTTTTTTTTAACAAACTTTAATTGAAGGCAATTTCATGTTCGGATTAGCAACATTGTCAGTGCGTAGTAAATTGCCTTTTATTTCAACAATTGATATAATTTTTTTGACACATTCAAAAATTTGGTGTATTTATTTATTTATCAATTTAAAAAACGAGGTTTGGACATTACGGGAAGAGGTCTCGGAGATGAGCTTTGCTTGGTTGGTTTTCTCTCCCTCTCTTGTTAGAACTTAGAAACTCTTTTGAAGAGGTCGGATGAGTGTATATATATATATATATATATTATGTATGTATACATATGCATGTGTGTATATATAAGATGAATAGAATTCTAAATTCTTTTGTTGTCATTGCGGACAATTACGATTTCACCTATTTGTTTTTCGTAATTGCCAAAAATCGTAAATGGCGATTGTGTCACAACCAGTCACTGTATAACATAAATTTATCAATCAGTCGACGTCAATCGCTCGTAATCACCAACAAATGTTGAATAAACGCCTACAATCGCATGTCGCAGTTGCAACGAACGATACAACAGATCGGACCTTATTACAATCTATAAGTTTGTAAATCTTCAGAATGCTACAAAATATATGACTAGGTAAGACAAAATCTACACTTGTGTAGTAAATAGGTGCAAATCGAATCACAGAACCGAGAGGTTCGGTTGGTTTTGGTTTTACGGACGGTGAAGAAGTTTCTCACATGTAAGTATCTTGTAAGTGGAGTGAGAGCCCTCGTATGTTTCCCGGAGAAACGTGTGCCAGCCCATCGCCTTTGTCGTCTCTCGAAGCTCATCCATAACGTCGATCGTATCGCGGATATAGACATGTCCTCCAGGTCTCAAAATCCGGTCCATCTCTAACAATATGGTCGACATGTTGCATCTGTTCACATCAAGAACACCTTGGGTTTCAGTGTTGTGGCTTATTACAGAGTTTTAACGCTTTTTCGGTATTATGACCTCCTGAGTTTGAACCAAAAGCATACCTCTTCCTCTCAATTGAGAAGAGTCCCGAAGCATGCAAGAAGTCGTACGTTCTCGGGTATGTGTCAAATGGTTCACACCTGTGGGAGATAACCGACAAGACTCGTCAAATATCTGAAATTCCGAACAAAAATGAAACACTAAATAGGCATGGAAGATTGAAAGGTAATGACGAGCAGTACCAGTCGTGCATTACTCCTAATAGTCCACGATCATAAATAACGGGCAACGTGTTTGGCCCACTGACGGGAACCACGTTGAGAACCCAGCAATTGAATTTATGATGAACCAACGCAGCTGCAAATCTGCCAGAAACAAATGAAGCTCATCAGAAAGGACAATTATGAGGTGTTGAAGCAATGTATCACATGGAACCAATGCATGGCAAGAAAGACGGCATGTGATACCCGCCATAGCCAGCTCTCATGTCCAAGACGTTTCTCATTTTCATCTTTTTCCATTTTAAACCAGTGATAAAGCCCCCTATTGTGTCGATCCAGAAATTCGATTCGGCATCGAAAATCTCTTTCCTGGCAATAAAGGAATCCATTTGTATAGTCTGCAGTCTATCGGGTGGAGTGTACAAACGGGCAGGCCACGAGGGGAGGTTTGCTCCGTATCCAGACTCAGGGATGCGAGTTATGCAAGGCTTCAGATCCGTGTACCTAAAAAAAGGCACAAAACATCAAGTGCAGGGAAACGTGTCATGTCCTGAATATGTTTACATTGTAGATTAGGTCTTACAATCATATAAATCAGACCAAAACAACACAGGAAACATATGGATTTTACAAAAATAGTTTCGTTTTTGCTTCTAGGTGCATGGTCTTCAGGTTCTTTCGTTCAAGCAAAAGGTGTCATGTCCTGAAGATCTTAATAACATAAACACAGAAAAAGGGGGGAATTTTAGATGTACCAAACATTATCTGGGTCATCATCAGAATCACAAAGGGGAGGTTTGATGCCAGCCTCACGGCTCAAATAACAACTGTTGTTGAAGGGCTTCTGCCAGATTGCTATGTATCCTTCCTTCTTCACCAGTTTCCAGCAAAGTCGATCGGTAAGATTTAGCATCGCTGGAAATGGAAACATGGGAGACAAATAAGTTTTCGCATTCGGAGTAGCAACTAGTAAATGTACAATTCTCCCACAAACCCATGCAAATGGACAATCGTCGAGGCAGAAGAAAAGGATCCTCAACAAGCTGAAATTCTCCCCGTTTTTTCAGATGCCTAATCGAAATTACGCCCATGAAAATTACCTGCTATTATATTATTTGAAACTATTACAACCTTACTATCTTTTCTCCTAAACTACTGAGATAGTGAGAGTTACTGAAGTGATGATACCTGTCCACTGTTCCTCCAAAACAGCTTCATGCTTATAGACGGGTTGTGCAGCCCAAGCAAAGTATCCTCCAGACCGTAGCATTCTATTGACCTCAAGGAGCAAAATTCCATCTTTGTACCAGTGACGGAAAGCGAAAGCAGAATAAGCAATGGTACAACAAGGAGAACAGAGCCATTAAAGAGTTGCTGGTGTAGTGAAATGCAAGGACAAAAAAAGGGTCTTATGTATAACCCGAATATTTAAAAACAAGATCAAGTATCCATAAACAATCCACCACCAAAGAGATAAAGTCAGATTAAAACATTACAGATGTGACCTCGATCTCTTCTTGAGGTATGTTTTGTTGAAGAATCATGAGCACCAGAGGAAAGCCTTACCATCATGAGTCCAGTTAATTCTGCATCTTGAACAGTGTACAAGATCAAAAGCTTGGCTTGGGTATAACAAGCGTCTCGTAGCAAATGCTGCAACCATTGCGGGAACACCACGCTCCAGAGCGAATTGAATTTGGTTTTCATGGACATCCTTTGGGGCAACCGACATTGTTAAGACATCACGGTTCAATAAGTAAGCACCAAAACTTGCCACACCACAACCAACATCTAGAGCAAGCCGAATATGTTCACCAAACTTGACCTCAGGTACCATCTGCAAGAACAAAGTCCATATTGACATCAGATCAAAACAAAAGAGGCAAATGAAGTCAGGGCAATGCAAGATCCATATAGTTTGAAAGCTAACAACCTGAGACATCTGGTCCAGATACTGCTCGGCCCCATGTATGAACTGTGTGCCGCCTCCGGGAAACTTAAACTTATCCTTGTCTCTGAAAATCCAGTTCTGACCTCCTTTGTCTTCGGCGAGGTGGGTATGAGGAACATTGCTGAACCACACCTGCCCATAAAATCATCAAGCATGGGATCGGAAAATCAGTGACAATGACAAGAAATGAAACCTCTACCATCAGCAGCTCTACATATGGATCGAACTCTAGAATGAATGCCATTGAATCCAAACTCAGATTACTTTTTCTGAATCTTCCGGGAAACCCCAAAACTTCTATTTGATTTAAAGCATCACACTTTTGAAATCAGAGCACTAAATGAGAAATAAAAGTGCTAAAACAAGAAGAGAAAAAAGTAGAGACAGGTTACCTCGTCGCGGCTTTTAGGCCAAGGAATCGGTGTTCGGTAACTTTCAGGAGGGGGAATTAAGCAATTCAAGCCTTTACCTTGCTCAGGACAATGGCGTTCAAACCGTTCCCCTCGTTCTGTGGATTTGAGCTTCTCCATCGCTTCCGCATTATCCAAACATGGTATATACTCTCTCATGTCATCTGGACACATCCCAAACTTCTTAACCCTAACCCTAGAATCATTCGCACTTTTTCTTTCGATCTCTGTCCGATTCCCCCAATCCTCCACCAAATCACTGTCGAACTCTCCGACCTCAAAGTCGTCAGACATTACACCGTTACCATCCACGATCCCGAAGCTCCGAATCGGACCCGCCCGAGGAGGAAGAGGAACCTTCTTCGTCACTGGCTCCACCACAGTCGACGGGGAAAGCGGCAGAGGTGAGGAGAAGGCTTCATTCTGGGTTTGGTTTGGAGGAATCAAAGACGAGATATTGGACGTCCAGTAACTGTTTGGAGAGATGGAAATCGACGGGGATGATCTGCCGGAAATGGTGCCGGCGGAGAAGAAGATGAGTTGTTGGTAGCCATCGTCTGACCAGTGCTTGCCCAAGTAGAAGAAAAAGAAGGAGATGAGGACGAAGGCGGTGATCTTGATCAGTGTAGGGTTTCTGAGGAGATCGCCATTGATGAAAGGCTTCATTTGCTTGCGTACGAAGGATCCCGATTTCCTTCTTAGATCTGCATGATGTAACAGTGTTTGTGTTCAATAAAACACGGGTTTGTGATGCACGAGAATGTGACAGCCACTTCGATTAATATTAAATCCATTAACATATAATTACTGGGTTATAATTTTTTAAATGGGAAAATAAAATTAGAAAAATTAAAATTTCTTGAAATAGAATCGAAACTAAATATAGTATAAAATCCAAATATTTACAAAATCGAAATAATCAAATTCAAATACAATGTAACCTTATCTGGCAATCCCAATACAATAAAAACCGAGATATGACACATAAAACTTAACAAGTGACAGTCCGATAATTACAATTGATAGATATGTTTCCACAAATTGAATATATGTTAATTTGTATATTTAATTAATTGATGATGTAGATCTTATTTTTGAAAAATTCTCAATAGATACATAAATTTATTCAAATCTTACTTTTAATATATAAATTTTTATCTAGGAAAAAATACATCAATTTATATTTTTAAAAGTTTTTACACGAACTTTAACGACGTTAATTAGATAACAGTTTTCGATGAACGATTTCACTGAATTTTTTACGTGGTAAATTTTTTTATGTCATTTGAAAATAAAACAAAAAAACAAAATAATGAAATAAAAATTTTAAATTTGTTTCTAACTTTTAATGATATGGAAAAATTTTCACTACTTGGCTTTCCAAATTTTCTAGGTATTATACATGGCGGGCGAAATTTTTCTCTGTCATTTGAAAATAAAAAACAAAAAATAAAACAATACAAAATAAAAATTCTAATAAGTGAATGGTACCCAAAAACTCTAAACAAACTCACGAATGGCCAATACATAATTGAAATTGAAGTAGAGAGCTAACAATGAATCTCTTAAATAAGTGAATGGTACCAAAAAACAAGACACCTTCATATAATCTTCTGCATCACATTCAAATATAAAAATAATTGATCATATACTGTAATGTCATAACCGATCGGATTCGTTTAACCGATTAAACCGAATGAAATTTTAATATTAGGATTTTTTTTTTTTTTGATAAAATGTGCTTGTTGTATTCATATCCGTAAAAAAATTACAAAATCTGTTACAAAAGTTGAAATAGATATACAAAATCTAAGGGATCCCATGCGTAAATGTAATTGAGCAAGATTTCAGTAGTAACTAATTCGATACCACAACTGTAGGATTTCATTCATGCCTGTAAATCCCGGTTTCTGCAAGGAGAAAAGTATGTTGCGCATAGATCGGTCGATCTTGACTCTTAACTGGCTCACGGAGTTCCATTTGTCCCTATGGATACGAGCATTCCTTTCCTTCCACAATTCGTAAACAACTAGCTGAGTCAGGAGCTTTCTGAGGGTCTTCCCATGGCCACCTAGAGGTGGCTCGGTCTGTCGTGTCCAAGCGAGGCAGCTCCGAACGTTAACTTGGGGGTTTCCACCTAGCTTTCCTGCATAAAAGAGCCATACAGCATCACTGAACTCGCAAGAGAAGAACAGATGATCGTGAGATTCTGAGTTTACGCAGCAAATGATACATCTGTTTGGGGATTGTATTCCCCACTGCGCAAGACGGTCCGTAGTAGGCAAACGCTTATGCATAACCTGCCAGAGGGTAAAAGAATGCCTAGGAATCGCTTCCTTGAACCAGGTCATGTCGTGCCATGTAACCTGAGGGTTTGGCCGCCTCACTTGCTCCCATGTCAGCCGCGAACTGAACTGTGGTCGATAGTCTTCTTCCTTGTGACGCCAGAGGGTAATATCAGGTCCCCTTCCCGAACTTGGCGGATCAGTTTCAGAAAGAATGATTTGTAGCTCTTGTATCTTATCATTTCTGGCTCCAGGTAGGTTCCAATGCTCCTCGCAAATTGCATCAGAGACGGTGGCTGACTTTGGTAATCTCAATAGCCTAGGCCCCGAGATTCCGACGAAGTTAATTAGAGGGCCCGTGCTTAGCCAATTGTCATACCAGAAGGATGTTTTAACTCCATTTCCTACTTGTACCTTGGTGAACAACCTCACTTGCTCTTTCATCCGAATCAACTTCTTCATATTCCAAGTGGCGGCAACAGAATCAGATGTTTCCCAATACGTTCGGCCCTTAAACAGAGAAGTTCTGACCCATGCAACCCAAAGAGACCCAGCCTTGGTGAGTAGCAACCAGATTAATTTGAGTCTGAATATTGTGTTGTGCTCGTCCAGTCGTCGTATCCCTAGTCCTCCTTCCTTTTTAGGTTTGCATACATTGTCCCAAGAGACTCGATGGCACGGTGTTTTGTCTGGAGCATGCTGCCAAAGAAACGTCGAACATAAACTGTCAATCTCTTTTAGGAAGAACTTGGGAAGAACAAAGGTCATACCCCATGAGTTCACCATGCCGTAAATCACCGAGATAACGAGCTGAATTTTTCCTGAGGCTGATAGGAATTTGTTAAGCCAACTCGAAAGTTTAGTCTTGACCCTTAGAATCAATGGCATGAAGTCAGCTTTGTTGAGTCGAGTGGGGCTCAGAGGTACACCCAGGTACCTAATAGGAAGGGATCCGAGTCTGATGCCAATGCTCCCCGATACTGCCACTTTCTCGCTTTCAGTCATACCTGCCAGAAATAACTCAGACTTTTTCGGGTTGATATGCAGACCGGATATCTCGCCAAAGAGTTGCAGTGTGTTCCTGATCTCCAGCAGAGGTTGTAAATCTCCTTGTGAAAATATCATGATATCATCGGCAAATGATAAATGGGTGATCAGGGGGTTCTGGCACCTGTGATGTGTTTTGAGCCTCCCCTCGACTGCTGCCCGGTTGAGTAACCGCGTCAAAATCTCCATGGTCATTATAAACAAATATGGTGACAGAGGATCACCCTGTCGCAGCCCTTTACGTCCCTTAAAGTAGCCCGAGAGTTCTCCGTTTACAGCCACAGAGAACTTTGTAGTAGTTATACATGTAGCTATCCATTTGATAAATCTCGGAGGGAGATTTATTGCCTTTAGCAACTGTATAATAGTGCACCAATCTAGGGAATCAAATGCTTTGCGGATATCAACCTTCGTCATTGCACTTTTTCGAGAGCAGCTTCTATTGTATTCCCGAATAATCTCCGATGCCAACAAAACATTTTCTATCATAAGTCTGCCCTTCAAGAAAGCATTTTGATTCGATGATACCATGTCAAGCGCCACTGATCTGAGTCTTTTAACTAAAATTGTTGATATGACCTTGTAGATGGTATTGCAACAACTGATGGGTCTGAACTCCGCTAGCCTCGTAGCTTCGGTTTTCTTCGGGATCAGAGCTATGGTTGTTGCGTTTATTTGGCCAAGTAATCTGCCTGACTTGAAGAACTCCTGAATAGCTCTGGTCGCATCACCTCCTAATATTTCTCAGCTTTCTGTGTAAAATTCCTTCGGGTATCCGTCTGGTCCCGGGGCTTTGTTGTCCGGAAGGGAGAAGAACGTATTCTTAATGTCCTCATCTGTAGGTATAGCATCGAGATCCAAACTCCCCGACCATCTGTATGGTATAAGTTCCTGCAACCAAGCAATAGAAGGCACTCTAACACTAGTATCTCGCACTCCGAGCAAACCAGTATAAAAGGATACCACGTGGGCTTTAATCTGGGTCAGAGTGGTCAGCCTGTTGCCATTCTCATCTTCCAGGTAATGGATGTGATTCCTTGCTATTCGGCTTGATGTGCATCGGTGGAAATAGGCAGTATTTTTGTCTCCCATTCTCAACCATTGTATTCTCGATCTTTGGCGATAGAACCTCTCTTCCGCAGCAGCCAGAATCATATAATTTTGACGCTGAGACTTTTCTTCCGCTATCAATTCCGGTGTAGGGGTATTTAGGACACGGTCCTGAGTTCTGCTGAGGCAAATTTGTGCTTCCTGGACCCTCTGAGACAGTTGCGAGAATCTCTTGCTATTTAAGGCTCGGAGTGGTCTCTTTAGCTGCTTCAAGGAACTGCATAGCTGGCGTGGGGTGTCTGGAAATCGGATAAGACACGGTGTGTGGTCTGAGTGTCCAGGTGGTGCGAACTCTGCAAAAGCATTCGGGTAAGCCTCTCTCCATTTAGTATTACCCATGGCACGGTCCAATTTCACGGACAACGGGTCATCAGTCTGATTATTGCACCATGTGAACATGGAGCCATTCCTGCAGGTCAAGCATTCCATGTTGCTGGCTCGAATTTTTCGGGAAATCCGAACGCTCCTGTGGATAAAGTGCTTGGTTGAAATCGCCTAAAACAATCCATGGGCTCTGTTGGAGTGGCGGATACGTGCCAAGTTGCTTAATCTCCTGCCATAGAGTTCTCCTTTCGATCACCGATGTATGCGCGTAGACAAATGTTGCCGTCAACTTTAGATTGAGCCTCTTGTTTTCAATACTACATGTTACAGCCTGTTTTGTAGATTGATAGACTGTAACACAAGTCGAGTCTTCCCATACGAGCCAAATCCTTGCTGTGTTTCGGTCTACAAAATGACAGGCATGTCTCCATCCCGGTGGTATCGCATTTGCTATCCGATCAGAATTTCTTTCTTGTATGCGAGTCTCCAAAAACGCTCCCATCACTAGCTTGTGTTCCAAAATCCACTTACGTGTCAAAAACCTCCTACCTTGGGCATTCAAACCCCTAACGTTCCAAGCAAAAATCATGGGTATCCCTTCGAATTTTTTAATTTCCTCTCGTGGCCTTACGGCCACGGCTTTTTGAGGTAACCTCCGTAAAACCCTGGTTATCAGGCTTGCCCTTTTTTGATGGCTTATCGTGGTGGGTGATTTGGTGTGAGGTGGCTGTTTGTGGCTTTGTCTTTGAAGGAGGCTGAGTGTTGGTTCCTGAATGTTGTTTGGCAGTAGTGTTTTCTACGTTCACAGTATCAGATGGGCTAATCAAACTGTCCTCCTGATGTGGCTGTGGTATTGGTGGTTGCTTTTCGGTGAGATCTGTAACTCCAACGTGATTCATAGCTGTGGTGGTAGCGGTGATGGTTGCCACAATTGGAGGAGATAGAGGACAGTGATTACGACTGTGGCCAAGTTCCGAGCAGTGGGGGCAACTCGGGGGCAACCAGTCGTAGGAGACATCTATGATATGTTCCTGCCCTTCAGGAAGTGTGACCATGATATTCCTAGGTGGGGCATGTCGGAGGTTCACGTCGATGAAAATCCTTGCTACCATAACATTCTCTTTCGTTGCTGTTGAACGATCTGGATACAGAGGATTCCCAATACTAGTTGCGATTCGGCTTAGACATTCAGTGCTGAATAACTGATGCGGCAAATTCCGAAAAGATACCCAGGTTTCTATCGATGTGAGTACAGGCTTGGTCGGAGTATGATACGGACTCCATGCAGAAACGAACATCGGGCAGGGGCCAACATGCCAGAACTTCCTGCTTAATGCCAACTCTTTCACTCGGAGATTAGGCACTTTGAATAAGAACGTACCATTTCCGATGTCTTGCACCTTCACCCTCGGACCGTTCCGAGACCACATCGCATTGGAGACTCCTACAATTCTTCCCATGGTAGGCGGAAGCCCGTAAAATTGACCGACAACAAAATCCGACCACTCCTCTGTTGATGCTTCCAAACTTTCTACCGGAATTGCAACACTAGGGATTCCACTCGGATGGGTCGATGGAGTTCCCATCCGCTGAAGGAACCGAATGGAGCTCTGCACCTTCTTGCTCCAGCTTTCTTGGGGAAGCTGGGATTTTCTCGGTGAGACAGCTGCCTGGTTTTTTTCGTGACCAGGAGAAAGTCCCGCTTGGGTAGTAGGACTATTTGCGCCCTCCTTAGCTGAGGAAGGGAGTTTGAGAGGGGAGGAGCAGAGATTTGGTGAAATAGGGTTAGGAATCGGAGATTTAAGAGGAATAGGAGAGTTTTGATGGACTGGAAAAGGCTTGGGCGAATCCTCGCGAACAGAAGGTTTCGACGAGGGGAAATAGTGCTCAGGGGAGGGGGGCCCAACAACCCAGGAGAGGGAGGGGCGGATGATGAACGAAGACGGGGAACTGTCGACTTTTTTGTGTGTTTTGGCCGGCCAACGGCCGGCCGTGGAGATTTGTGAGAGTGCGGTGGCTAGGTTTCAGATCTCCCTTACGCGAGAGCCACCCTGAAATCCATCTTAGCGGAATAATATTAGGATTTTTTCTTTCCTTCCCTGAGTTTCCTCTCCTGGATCGAAGTACAAAGCACATCAGCGCCAAACTTTCCTCCCTCTCCCTCAAGCTCTGCCTTGTCTGTTGCCGCTAATCGTCTACTCTCAAACTTGTTGTCGTCTCAAACTTGTTGTCGTTGTCTCCTTCGCCATCTGTTTGACTCGGACTCCATGTTGTCGTTGTCTCCTTCCCCAGTTGAATCGAACTCCCTATTTCTCCTTTGTCAAACCTGTTGCCGCCATTGCTAGAACAAGATATCTTGAACTTTGCATTATTTTCTTCGCTTCTGCAAATTCTAGGGTTACAAACGATACAAGAACTTTCAGGAGAATTTCCAGAACAAGATATCTTCGCTTCTGCAATTCCAGAACCTTATAACGACGATGAACCAACCTCCACACGAAGTTACTAGATTACCCTTATAGTCGTTACTCACAGCTGATGCAAATCGACATCGTCTGATGACCTTCAAAATCTCCGATAGAACCCGAGTGTCTTCTTTATTGCACATCTGTTTTTCCAGCTCAGCTCAAGGTTTACTAAAACCATGATTACGATTATCTCTTCACTGTTGTTAATAATAGCAAGGTGCAAGGTGTAAATTGTAATGAAATTTGAGAGTTACATTGATGGTTAATATATAGTCTTCATACCGGATACCGGATATTTGTTAGCGGAGTTAGTGGAAAGAATATATAATAGGCATAAATTTAATATTTTTTGGTTGGAAATTTAATCTTTCTATAGGTTGATATAACGATTTAGTTTAAAATTTTATAAAGAAATTAAAAAAAAATAATCAAATGATATAACGATTTAATTTAAAAATTTATAAATTTATAAAAAAAATAATAATTTTTTTAATCAAATGATTAAAGAGATGTGTGATTGTGTCCATTCATCTTTATATGGATCCATCCATAAATAGAGGGGTTGGGTATTACAAATCTAAGAGAAAAAATGTATTCCGAAATATTCGGTGTATTATATTGTATTCCAAAAACGTCTTGTGTATTACAATGGATACACAATGGATATATATATATACGCTATGAAGAGTTGTAGGTTCATAAACGTCCAAAAAATATTTATAAGACCATGGGGTCTACTTGTTACACCAAAATCCAATTTTCTGCACAGTTTTCCGATTTATGGAACCGACGGAACCACGTCACACGAGCAATGAAGTGCTCCGAAACTTACCAATGCAAAATTTTCTTTACAGCTTTTTTTTTTTTTACAAAATTATGCGAATTAATATATATATATATATATATATATATATAAAAGACAAAACCCATGCAATCATTGTGTGTCCGATTATAACCACAAAAATCTGTAAAAAAAATATTAGAGGACGGTCACCAACTATGGCCAATCATTGAGCTCCTCTCTTCATCTGTCACGTTATCGAGGAATTGATCTGTAACAAAACTTTTTCACTTTTTTCCCTCCCAATTATAATTGGGTTTCTTTTAAAAGAAAGTCTTTAATCGTCATCCATTTTCTCCATCAATTAAATGTGTATATCATTATTCTCCATAATCACTAAATTTGTCTATTTTTTCCTATTAATTTTTATAATATCTTTTATATTCCTTATGTCTCCTAAAAGTACGGAAGTATAATTTTCACTTTAAGTTGGTACCGAAATTTGAAGTATTACTATTTCGTTGAAATATTTTCATTAAAAAGACATATTTTATCGTGTTCAAATTTATTTTTAAAATTTCGGTTTTAAAAGTTATGTTTTTTTTATTCTATTATCGGAATTATACATTTTTTAAATAGAAATATAAAACAACATTACCAACAGTCCATTTGTCTATTAAATGGGGATTTAAAATATCTACGTTGAGATATGTTAATTGTATATAAAAGTCGAAGAGGTGACGAATGAATGAGTTATAATTACGAAAGATTATGATTTACAACACGTGTTTCATTGTTTAACCATATACTTTATACGGTATGTTACATTACATATCCACATCGAGTTCAGTTCATAGAGTCTGTATCCAAATATTTCATAATATAAATAATATTCTTTAAAAAAATGCATGAGAGTGTTGATGGGTACAAAAAAAAAACCCAACGAGAAATAATAATCTTAACTCTTATTATATACGGTGTGACATGTTTTTTTTGTGGTACCTTGAAGGATTATTGTACAAAGTTTTTGTAACCAATATTACCGATCACAACCTTATTATAATCTGATGTGTCATTACATCATGACATTTGAAAAGCAGAATCTTGCATTCTATGAAAATCAAACTATTTATTCAAAAACTATAAATGAAAAATACGGCAATTTTGGAACTGAAAGTCGTGAATATAGAGACAATAAAATAGAGTAAACATATTTAGAGTTTTAAAGTGATCCATTTACGTATAATCTTCAAAACAAACTTATATTTTATTTTTATTCATTTGTACAATCTGTAGATGTACTCCATTTTTTTTCATTACGGAAATTATATCCAATAGAATTTCTCTTTAATACTCTCGAATCCCTTTAAAATGTATGGAAAATCATTAAAAGAAATGATACGGACCATATAATATGAAATTATAAGCACGTAAATATTCCGATTTTTTTTTTACTTGATTAAAACTGCTCTCCGATGATAGGTTACGGTCATTGTGAGGCCCCAAAGAAGGTTCCATTTGCATTCAATTCGTTAAATGTTTAACTGCCACTACATACGTGGCAATGTCCCCTCCTCTCTTCGATTTTTTTATATGGGCCTGGGCTTGTGGGCCCATTAATTACGAATAATCATTTTCAAAATCGTTATATTTCCGTTTGAAATGAAAATATTTTTATATTTATTTTGAATTTTCTATCATGTTAAAAATCGGATTAAAAAAATTATATTTTTTTAGATTATTAATAATAACAATGATATCATCACATCGTTGGTGTATTCAAAGGATGATAATTTTAAAACTTTGTGTAAATTATACGTATTTTTGTTTTTATTATTGATTTCATCTGTCACATAGCATAATATGCATTGATTGCATTTTGACACAAATCTTGGAGGATCCCAATGTCCCATATGATTATCACTTTGATTGTTCCACAATTAGCAAATTTCCAAATATTTTGGTGTCACAATCCCACAATATTTCTTGTGATAAGATAATGAGTTATAGATAGAAACATTAAACCTTTCATTAAAATGCCATTTTTTTTCTTATGCGAATAATAGAGCGTTGAATTGAAAACGCAACGACCAAAATATATAAATTAGAAAAAAAAATTCGAAAATTGTGGGATCCATACGATGACGTGGCAGTGTACTTTCGGACGGATCAGACGAAATGGGACCCACTCGCAGAGAACCCTTCCAGAAACTTCTTCGGCAACTCGTGGGTGGCTATAATTCCTCAGGCTATCTAGCGGTCTGTATCTTGACACGTGTCACAATCTATGAATCCTACGCGGCTGCTCTCATCATCTTTGTGATGAAAACGTGTCCGCTCTTTTTGGGATGTTTCTAATGTCAATCCCTACAGTTTTTTCTATTTTTGAGATTTGACCTCTAGTTTTATTTTAGAGTTAAACTGTCCAGATTGGTAGTGTGGTATTTCACTTTCAAATTTGTAAAAAATGTCCTTTTTGACAAAAAAAATAAACTAACGTGATGATATATGATTTCTTATTGCAATTATAAAAAACGTAAATTAGATTATAGTTTTTATATGGTTCCATCATCATTTGTTCTTGAATTATACTTTTCCATTCCATTGTTTATTTGTAAATGCAAAGCATGATTTGTGTTTTACTTGTAAACTACTACTAGAACACTCGTGACTGTTTAACAAGTATATATATATATATATATTAACACTTTTTTTCAAGATCTTTCAAAATCTCATTTCTAATACCATAATAATAATTATGATTACATCATTTACTTTAAAAATGGTATATAAATTTCAAATGAAAGATATCAATATCATCATCCATAATCTATCAAAATCATTATATACGATCTATCATAAAAATAATAAAAATAATAACCACGTGTATTAAATAAGAATATATATATATATATATATATATATATATATATCACTAGAGCAACACTTTTTTTTCAAGTTTAAAAAAAAAAAATCATTTCTAATGCCCTAAATAGTTATTATGATTACATCATTTAATTTCTTTAAAAATGATATCTGAATTTTAAATGAAAAATATCAAAATCATCATATATGACCATCAAAATCATCATACTACTCGATATAACCGTTTTCCAGAACAAAAGCGGGGACCATTTTGATTCTAAAATAAATGTCGGCATAATATGTAACTCAACAACATTATAGAGGGTAATATAGAAAATTGGCAATTTTTCCTTTGGCAACAGTTTTAAAGTAGGGTTCTGTTCAGGCCCATGAACATGAACCTTTTTTTTTTTGGGTAAAACCATGAACATGAACTTCCTTGTATATACATACGCATAGAGGTGTATCTAAACGCGTGTCTGTATATATATTATAAACTTGCCTCCGAGAAATGATCAATTGTTTTTAGCGTTACACTTTCTCCTATTTCAACTGAAATGAATGAGGACGGGAAATCGGAGGGAGCTATCGCCGCCGCGGCGGAGGAAATGGCGGGAAAGAGAGCGGTTTACATGTGGGGTTACTTGCCTGGAGCTTCGCCGCAACGGTCTCCGCTGTTGTCGCCGGTGGAGGTGAAGATTCCGCCGGCTACCGCAAGCTCGTGGAAGGACGTTTGCGGCGGCGGTTGCGGATTCGCCATGGCTATTGCAGGTGATCCCTCGCTTTACCCAACTTATTTTGCTTCAACTTTCCCTCAAACGACATTGAAGAGTTTGCAATGGCTCGTGTTGGAATTCATCTGATTTTGAAAATGTGTATGGTTCTATGAAGTGTCCGATCGAAATGATGGGTTGGGTTTAGTTCAATGTTTCTCTGGCTTTGTTAATCAGAATCCGGGAAGCTTATGACATGGGGATCGACAGATGATCTAGGTCAAAGCTACGTGACTTCCGGGAAGCACGGGGTAGTCTGCATTCTTCTGAATTGTATTGATTTGAATTTTGTCTGAAATCTCTGGTTAAAATCTGCTGAATTGAACTGCAGTTACGATTTTCAGTCCAATTTCTTGTTATAGGAAACTCCAGAGCCGTTTCCACTTCCCCAAGAAGTTTGTGTGCAAAAGGCTGAAGCCGGTTGGGCTCATTGTGTTGCAGTAACAAGTACATCGTGTTTCTGAGTGCCAACTTGCAGCCCCATTGTTAAATTCGAACCTTTTCCATGGTTTTTAGTCCTTGATTTGTCTTACGTAGAGATTCTTGCCATGGAAACAGATAACCAGGAAGTTTATACATGGGGATGGAAGGAATGCATACCCACAGGGAGGATCTTCGGCGACCCATCATTTATGGGAGGAAGCGTCGAGAGCGATACGTATCAAAGGCATATTTCATTCTCGGCAGAGCAAGGTGAATCGACTTCTGCCTTCTTTTGTGTGTCATAGTTTTGATCAGAGGATGAATGTGGAAGAGAGTGGCTTTTTGTTGTAGTAAGCCCCCGTTCCCGAGGCTCAAAGTCAAGTGGTGGATCCTCTTCTCCTGTGGAAAATAGAGGTGGGGAAGCACCTTCAAAGAAAAGGAGAGTATCACCGGCGAAGCATGCTGCTGAAGGCTCGTCATCTGGTGATAGCGATCTGTCGGCATTGCCTTGTCTTATATCATTGCCTCTGGGAGTAAGAATTGTTAGTGTCGCTGCAGGTGGACGTCATACTCTAGTCTTGTCAGGTGAGATTTTCTAGTTCACAGTAATCACCATGCCCGAAACAGGGCAATTTGGTACAGATTACAGAATATTGACGAGTTGTCTCCTTAAGCTGAATTGCTTCTGGGTGTGCTGAAGCACTTGATCCTTCCTAATTTTGTCTAAAGTCCAGATATTGGACAGGTGTGGGGTTGGGGTTATGGAGGAGAAGGACAGCTTGGATTAGGCTCCCGTATACGCTTGGTTTCCTCTCCTCATCCTATACCTTGCATTGAGCCCATTTCTCATGGGAAAGGCAGGTCCATGGCCATTGCTGGAGCAAGCACGAGTTCAGAAGGGCAGAGCAGCAGAGTTCTCGGAAGTTATGTGAAGAGAATTGCATGTGGAGGGCGGCATAGTGTTGTGGTCACTGGTATGCTTCTTATCATATTGTTCTGCGCAATGGCTGATGAAACACATCTTGTGTCCCTATCAAATTAGGAACGGACTTATCAACTATTAGTTCCTAGAAAACTGGAAGAGAGTGATTTTGACACACTAAAGGACCAATCCAGTTCATATCCACATCTAGTGGGGGTGATGGGAAAGGGAATATACTAGGCCACCTTATCCCTACATTTTAAATGTAGAAAGATGGATTCGAACCCCGCGACCTCAGACCCCACGGTAAATGGTTTTACCGCTGAGCCAAGTCGGCCCTTCTTTGACAAACTATCTAAGGATTTTTTTTTTTGGTAAAGAACATTTATGGTCCATGCATATATAGTATGCATGAATTGTGACTACTTCTATTTAGCAGATTCTGGAGCTATGCTTGCATTTGGTTGGGGGCTTTATGGGCAGGTGAGTTTGACAGTTCCTTGGTTTTCTCTATCACATAAGCTTAAAACTATAATGAGTTGAGATTCTTTCTTTTTAACTCAACCTACCTACGTGGGTTTGACAAATAACTGTTCAGGAAATTTTGATGTATTGGATCAGTCGAACCCTTTAAGGAAACTATTGCTTTGATTGTAAAAGAAAATGTGTTAACTCAAGTTACTCAACTGAAACTGTCGACGCAGGAAAGTTTGCCACGGTAGACATCCAAGATTATCGCTTCAAGCAGTCTGCGAGGGACTTATCTTTAATTTTATTTGTTATTTTTGATTGGTAGAGGCAATGAAATGTCTTGTTTGCTCTGTAAAGTGTGGCCAGGGAAGTACAGATGATGAACTAAGTCCTACTTGTGTGTCGTCGTTGTTGGGCATCCTGATAGAAGAAGTGGCTGCCGGTCTATGGCACACGGTCTGCATTTCATCCGATGGTGATGTTTATTCATATGGAGGAAACCAGTTTGGGCAACTAGGAACTGGAGGTGATCAGGCTGAGGTAGATACGAAGAATGAATCACTCTCGCCTATCTGATCATATATTTCATTCAAAGCCAAATCTTGTTCCCTTAGTCGTTAGATCCCATAATCATAATCCAATTGCTTGGAAAGGTTTTAAGATGAACTCATCTACTTATTTTCAGACTCTCCCGAGGCTACTGGATGCTCCTAGTTTGGAGAACATGAATGTGAAAACTCTATCCTGCGGGGCTCGCCACACTGCTGTAATTACAGGTATCCGTTAAACCAACAACACTTCTTTTCTTACTATGCATATCAAAGGCAGTTCACCTTTTGAGTTTTTTTTTGTGACTCTATATCTTTCCTCTCGGCTTCAACAATTTTGTTCGATAAAATTAAGCAATTCGAACTACTTCTCGACGGTAGCGTATCTACTGAATCTGTCTTAACGATCTCCGTGGGCATAGAGGATGAATAATTCAAACTCAGTTGCTAAATCATTTGCTGGTTGCAGAGGATGGAAAAGTATTTTGCTGGGGATGGAACAAATATGGGCAGGTAACGCCTAATTCCATTATTGTTTCAGACAAAAAAGAAAAAGACATGCTCCTAGTCTTTTTTTTTTTTTACATCATGAGGTTGTCTGTGAAACAGCTGGGTCAAGGAGACGTGATAGACCGCAACGTTCCATCTGAGGTTAGGATCGAGGGTTGCATCCCGAAGAACATCTCTTGTGGTTGGTGGCATACTCTGCTTCTAAGCGAACCATTTACTTGACCGCAGACGCCCTTTTTTTTCCACTCCCGAATTTTTGTTAGGGTTTGAGCAAAAGTCTTAGTAGCTAGAAATAAATCATGTCACACCGTACATTTATAGTATGTACATAATATATTTGTAATGAATAATGCTGTTTCCTCTTCACTATTTCCTAATTAACCCATTCGTTCATTTGACAGTTACATTAATTATCCTTTTTTTTTTCTTTTCTTCACATTTTAATTTCTAATTTAGTGCACGAAACTTTAAATCCTAAATCTTTAATCATAATCTCTGAACCCTCAATTCTAAACCTGTTCTAAATTTGAAACCATAGATCATAAACTATAAATTTTAGGGTTTAGAATTAAAGGTCTTGAGTTTTAGAATTGACTTATGAATTAGAAGTTTAGAGTTTAAAATTTAGATGTTAAGAATTCAAAATCTAGAATTAAAAAAAATTAGAGTAGGGTTTAAAAAAAATTAGAGTAGATATTTTGAGAAAAAGAAAGATATAGCATTGCTTTATCGACAATTAACCGTTGCGAGACTTTTTTTTTTTCTTCATTTTGTTGTCCGTGTAAAAAGCTCAATAACCATGCGACAGATAGGATTCTTCACTCTTTACATTGTCGGAAAGGGCTTGCTCTTTGTACCGTGGGATAATGTCAAGAGATTTTAATCATTTTATGCCTACAAATGTTACAGTTAACCTTTAGATTTTATTCCGTACAGTTACGATCAATTTGCATGAAATGTTTTTCTCATGTATATTATATAATATATGTCACAAAGTATTTCCGAAATGAGTGGAAACGAAAATCCATTCGGTGGACCCCAAATAAACTTGGGACTAAGATGATGTTGATGTATATGTCACAGTATTTACCACAGGAAAAAAACCAAAGGGGGACAGAAAATACAAGATTGGAAAGGCAAGCACAATCAGTTGAAGAAAAAATCACACCACAAATCCTACACAACTCAACTCACTGAAACACAAACCCAGTGATTCAATTCAACCATGAAACTACCAACCCAGATAACATCTTTGATACTCTCGAGAAGTGAGTAACAGAGCAAAATTCAAAAGGGCTATAGATAAACATTTTGTGTCAGGTGGTGTGGAATATGGGGGGAAATTATGGAAAGAACCAGACCTTGATGAAGATGGAAATGGCCATTTGTAGAGCAAATGCTGCCGCCATTACCACCGTTAGATCGTTTCCCTCGAGGTATGACCGTAGATTCAGGGAGACGAAGCACGATGAAGCGCTACCGGCCAGGAGTGTAATGACCCATCTGAGAAACTCCACCGGGATAAGCAGTGGAAACTGAAAACAAAAGAAAAATATAAATATTGTCTGTGTTACTCGTTAATCCGCACGGGTGTATACCGAAATAGAAATCCAAGCATGGCATTGAAGCTTTGTCAAATCTAAGATTGAGAGCAAAATATAAGTTCAAGTAGTCATAACTGATAGTTTGGTACGCTGATTCAAACTGTCTGATCCAGAACATAACCGTGAGAAATCCATCGTACAAATCATTTTAATGGTTATTGATGATATTTAATCGATTTCGCTAACAGAAAAAGAGAATGATGACAATGCAACAAGGAAAGCGTGACACATCAAGAGGCAAAAAAAATGAAGTAAAAACAGATACTTACAGACGTCGGAATGAAAATGAAGAGAGAGTATCCCCACAGGCACCAGAATCTCAGAAGATCAGACTTGGACCCCATATAATGCAGCGCGAAATAAAATGCCAGAGGAACTATTATCACGTAGCCATAGATTGACGAAGCTGCCAAATTTACATAATTCACATCGAAGGTCCAAGGAACAGTGCTGTCGGTCCGTTTGTTCATGAGATATGTGGCACAGTTTCCAAGAGAAGCAAGCACAAACACTAGCGTGGTAGAGATCCAGACAAGTCCATATCTAACCAGAGAAATTACGTAAGTTAGATGCATTATAATCCCAAAACGGGATGGCAGCCCATAAAACCATGTTTTTGCTAGCCATTGGTCGATGGCATGTAACATCTACTTGCACTTGATGAAAGAAGCAAAGTAGTTAGATATCTCCTATTCTCGGAGTCCTAAAAGGGGCCTACTCAAGAAGATAACATTTAACACCAAAAAATGACCGCCAAATTCAACATATCACCCTCAAAGCAGTTGAACTACATCCAAATCACATAAATTCAATTATGTATAAGCAGCACACACACTTGCTAGTGATTAATAGCTTAGCCACGAATAGCCAAGGCCAAGCAATAAGCAGCATGCAACATGAAGAGACAAATAAAAGGATAACCCACAAGAATCTCCCATAGAGACATTCATCACACTCTCTCTTTATCTACCTCCAATAATTCTCGTCCCACTTTTCAACTTATGAACCTGGTACTCAAATGTTGCTATTGGAAGAACCAGTTACAATAGAGTCCAACGAACCTTGTCTTCTAACATTTTAACTCAATTATAATGCAATCCCATATTTCACTTCCCTGGCCCAACCAAACTGGTCTTTAGGCAGGGATATAACTATAACACTTAAAATGTGCTAGAAAAACATTGGTCGAGCACCCAATTAGCACAGGGCAATCTCCTTAAAGGTGTGTAGAAACATATTGAAGCACTTACAGATCTGGGTTTGCATCAATCTTGCTGAAAAAGTCTCCACTTGTGGGATAGAATGAACTCATCAATCTGTTCAAGACAACATCTGTGTCCACATTGAAATATTGGACATATGATGAGACACTAAATACCCCATTCCAGTTGTTTGCTGGCTGCTGTTCAAATCCCTCTACAAGGATAAATACAACATATCACAACTTATGATCGGAAAAGACACCATGGAAAAGTTGAAAGGATGGTCAATATGTTCGTGACAAAATAAATCAGGTCAATAACATACAAGCATTTCTTGGCTCATCTTGTAGTTCTTTAAAGTTTAAATGGGATGAACATATTGGTGCAAATAATCCTAGCAAAGTCAAAAGGGACTATACCTGTTGGAGTCTCAAGAGTCTGATAGCCCCTTGCATTGCTTCCATTATTTGGTGGGAATATTTGCATGTTTGCATCAGGGCCTGAAACAGAGTTCACAAACAACACTTACGGCTTTTATTACCAAAACAATCAATTGCTTGGTAACTCTCATAGAAATATCACATACCCTGACGTAAGGCTGTGGTTTGCTTGTCATCACCGATCACGGCCTAACCACAAAAGAAATAGAGATCTTATATCATAACTAATAATATGTGATATTCGGAGGCAGCAACATAATACATTCAGGCGTGTGTATTAGTGAATCCATCCGAAAATCAAGCCACCACGAATCCATATGAAACTGGAATCCCATTATCACAAACCCAACACGAAACTCAAGAATTCTTCACAGAGTGGCCAAAACTTAAGCTGAAGCCAAAACCCAAGAATCCTTCGACAAGATAGAAAGCCCCTAAATGGGGACTAAACAAACAAGAGACGCCCAGATAAGCTGGAAAGAGAAACCAATTCAAGCAGTATTCCATTTCGCCCAAAAGGGAGGAGGGACTATGAGGACTGGTCTCAAGTTGTCTACAAGAATGAGAGTTTTGAATTCAAATCAGCAATGTATCACATACGAAAACACAACAAGAGCAACATGCAAGAAAAACTTCTGAACTTTCGAGTTTCAACGTTTCTAAAAGTATACATCCTAATCCTAACACCAAAACATAACACAGAAATAGACATAAAAGACCTATAATTTCCTTCGCAAGCACGAGAATCGAAGAAAACAAAAGATAATTCCAGAAAGCATGATCGTCTCGAGAACATACGAAAAGAACGCTAATAAGTCGAACTGAGGAACTATTTCCATGATACAATCGCATGTAAGCAGATGAATCGGAGACTCACAGGAACTGAACCAAGCAAATGGCTCGTCGGCAGATTAGCGAACGACTCATCCATGGAGACAGATGAAAGACCTGGAAAGAGAGATCAAACCGCGGCTGCGATCGAATTGAGGTTCTTATCACCTTCAAAAATCGATGAGATCCGAAGATAGATTTCTCCTCTCTGATTTTTAGGGTTCTGCACCAAGTGCAGGAACTGAGAGACTGATTTATTGGCCCCTTTCTTCTCCTCCGCCGTCGTGGAAGTAAACGTTTAAGAGACGCCGACGCCGAAAGGTACGAACGAGCGAGAAATGGCAGAGAGAGAGAGAGAGCGAGAGAGGAGGAGAGTAGATACACGCGCGAGTGCGACACGCGCCTTTCACTTTAAACACGTGGCGTGGCACACGTGACTGGGCCTAACAATTCACATGTCCTCCGTGGCCTCACGAATGTCACAAACAGATCAAATGGGCCTCCACAAAAATTTCAAGTTGGGCCCCAGCCTAGCATGGAGACCGTCTTCAACTCTTCATTACCTTATGCTTCACCTTCACCAACTGCAACTGAGGGTATCAATTTTGTCACGAAATCCAATTTATCCACCATTAGATTCGAGTTAAAATTTCTAGATTTGAAAAAAAAAAATCGGGCTTTTGGACCGGCTCAGATATCATTTTTTTTTTAAAAAAAAGGTCATGAAAAAAATAATTCAAATCGAAAAAAAACTCTAATCTAATGGGTCGGTCCGATCTGAACATGAGTCTTATAAGGCCAAACTTTGGGTTCGGTTTTATAGGCCCAAAAAAAATTCGATCGATGAATAAAAAAAATCCTCGGATTGAATGCAGGCTCGGGCAAGATGGGTCGGTCCATCCCTTCCATTATGATTATACACAACCTCGTAACTCCCTGTATCTTTCTCTATTACATATTTGCACTTTGTTTTATACCTCTGTCTGTTGATATATATATATAGCCTACTTCCAGTTCAAAATATTTTCATCAACCCACAAAAAAAAAAACAGAGCAAATTCTTGCACTATAAAAAGCAGAAAGGCCAAAGCGGTCTGGAAACTCTTTGATACAAGGCACTTTGAGTGTGTAACCGTGTGCACCCGCAGACCAGAGAGAGAAATGGACGAGAAAGTAAAACTCACACGTAGGTGTCGATCAGAGATTTCCTCATCTCGTCGACGATAGAGCTGGGCTGAGCCTCCCTCAGCTTGAAGATGCTGTCAATGACGGAGAGCTCTGTGGCCGTCGTGTCTGACCCGCAAAAGGCGGTCCAGTCGTTCACCGTCATTCCCGCCGCTATCACTTCGCTACCACGGTTGATGGTTCCTGCCACCAGGGGGACCTGGAGAAGAGTCGACAGCTCGTCCAAGTCTTCCACCGAGGTGTGAGGATGAACCTGTGCTTTCAACATTCGTCGTTACATTCCATAAACCGAGATTCAACAAGGCATATTTCGTTGGTTTCAAGCTCAAGAACAACATAGTAATAGAATGTATTCTCTTACCAATCCGCCTCTATTGGAGAAGGCACAGTAACTACCGACAAGAATATTGCCCGCGATTGTCTGCCGGAAAACTTCCACTCCAAGAACATCGGCTATTATCTCTTCAGTTTCCTGTCAAAATGGTACAGAGCAATGCAAGAGCCAGACATCAAAACATATAGTTCATCCAGTGTTGCAAAACTCCTGTGGTATCCATTGAGAAGAATACAGTAAAAAAAGCTAGTGTGTAGAACAGTGAAACAATCCCAACAGCAAGTAGCAAGAGCACAAGAACATATGACGGTTTTGGGTCAAGGATAAGTGGCAAAACGTTGACAGTGTCTTCCTGAGAAGTGAGGACTTTCAGACAACAATCCACTTAACCGGTTCTTGAGGAATCTTAACAAACATCATTTGAGAATACAGCAGATAGAACACCCGAATGATTGAATGAGAAAATTACTTGGGATATATAAAACTTTATTGTCACTCGAATGATTGAATGAGAAAGTAGTTTACCCTGTCAAGATCAGTGTGAGCAAGTGCGACATGATCGTTGCAGGCTATGCAATTTCCAAGAGCTGACAGACGTTCCTCGATTCGCTGGACTACCACTTGATCGGGCAGACTGTTCCGTAAGTGTTGAAGCTCTGTAGAGTTACAAGTAAAAAAAACAGATCATTGGCAGATTGTAACTCGTACAAACCTCTAAAATACCTATTACAAGATTCTTCAAATGGGGGACAAGAGGAGGAAGACTCAATTACGATGCAAAGTAACAGATTCCTTAACCAAAATCAATGATCAAAGAAAAGAACCATCTTCGGAATTTCCACTCAAAACCTGAATATGAGGCATCATATGTCAGAAGCAACATGCGAACTTAACTTCAAATTTTCAATAAACAGGGAGAGGATACAGATACTTCCTCAATCACAAAAGAGATATTCAGCAAGCACTGTTGTTCTTAAAAATTCAATTGTGCCACCCTAGTCAAAGAATTGATTGTATAGCAGATTCCTCCTTTCCTTTGTGAAAACAGTCTAATTTGGAAGTTGTTATATTACCTTGGTCGGTAGTGGTATGAGGCACGAGAAGTCCATTTTTATTTCCTAAAAAAGAGAAGATGATCAAGTTGAGTTCAATAAGCGAGTGAATCACTTTCAGAATATTACAAGATGATATTACAAGGTATCATAAAGGAAATGCACCAGCACATAGACGCCCAATAATTCGTGTGCCTCCAATTGAGGTCTTAACAACCGGGATAACATCTGCTAATTCCGTTTCGAAAGCACTGCAAAGCAAGAGAAGAAACCACGACCCACTTAGAAGTGACATCAAAGCAAAGCTGAAACAAACATGACTTCAGAAAAGGATACATACCTGTAGAAGTTTTCCGAGCCTCCAATTGCAACCAAGCAATAAGAATTGGTGAGTTTTGAAAAGACACCAACTTCACAGTTGTTTTCAAACTGAAGACCTGCACATGATCAGACCCAGTAAACCCTTTTGGCAAAACACAAAAATGCAACACCAAAGAAAGAACGAGATAACAGTACAAGCAAGTCTCTACAGAAGCAACGTTGGGAACTTACGAGTCGCCATGATGAAAGTAACCCGGAAATGCACTAAAGGCCTGCATATAAGACGCATCAAACTCATAAGACGATTAAAAAAGGAGAAATTGCATGGTCACCGTATATATGTATATGTACAGGGGGAAACATACACACAAAGAAGCATATATGTGAATACAGACATATATTCAAAGCATACCAATACTCTGGAATTGAGATATCTGTCTCTATTGAAATTCTTAAACACTAATCGGATTAACCCATAATAAAATTAGATACGTAAATGAAACCACTGACAGAGTAGCTAACCCCTAAAGATCAAAACAAAAATCCAAGAGGTGGGACCATGGAAACCCTAATTTCCCAAAAGGAGAGATTATGAAGAAGACTTACTATCTATCGGGTACCCAAGATTTTCGGGCTACCCGAACCCGAATCTGAGTATCTTGGGTATCATGAGACATTACCCGATCTCAGACTCGTTTGGTCAGGTACCCGAACCCACAGTGACAACACAAAATTAGTTTTGAAACACAATTCTGGAAAACAAATCTGAGAAAAAAAAATCATACTTCTGAGACAAATGACAAATCTGGAAGAAAATACAAAGTTTCAAAATACAATTAGAAATAGCAAAATAACATTTCACATCAAAACAGATTCCAGAAAACCACAAGAGAAACCTGTTTTCACGATTGTTTGTCTCATTGCTAACTCCGCTAAGCAAGTCATAATGCTGTCAGCAATTGTGGCATAGCATCATCACCAAATCGATAAACAGCGTTCGGTATTGCACTTAGCATGCAGAGGCAAACTTCAACACTTGGAAAAAAATATTGAGACAAGAAACAATCTGCAGCAAAGAACTTTCAATTCAAAGCTTTCATCAACTCCATCCCAAAATGTAAGACGCAAATATGCAGCAAGCTTTGAGGTGACAAAGACCAAAGCAATTATGAATATACTTAATCCATTAACAGAAACACGCCACAAATTTGATAGAGCAGTTGACAAATTTATCTAATGACACACATTTAACAGAATTAATACGACTCAAAGAGTCAATTCAAATATCATCTTGAAGAAGCAACGAGCACTTGAACTACGTTTTTAGGGAAAATATAAACAATTTGTAGCTGGCTGCCCACAATTAAAAGGACAAGCGGTAAGAAATTTCAATTTTCAGCTCAGTAACCAATTTCCCAGAAAAAAGATACGCAGAAATAAGCTCAACACTAATTTCAAGCTAACACAGAACAAGTAATGATACCGCCATAGACCCACCCTAGAATCTCGAGAGCAGATCAATATTGAAGTGAAGGTCGACCCTAAACCTTAAATTCGAAAAACCATCTCGAACTTCCAACCAAATACAAGAAAAGAAAAACCCAGATGAAAAACGTATGAACAGAGACACACACACAGAGAGAGAAAGAGGACAATCCTAGAACCTAAAAACGAACCAAGAGACAGAGATAGAGTGGGACCAGCGATGCGAGGGACCGACAGACGGAGAGGACCGAAGTGAGGCGGCGAGAACCGAGGCGCGAAGACTCGACGATAAACCAAAAGATCGACTACAATTGCGAGACGCTGAAGCGGCGCCGGCGAGTGTAGGCAGAGAAATGATGCTGGAGGGGACACCAGCGAGAAGTGAGAAAACGAGAATATAAATCCTAGGTTAGTTGCAATTTCTTAAAAATACAGGGGTAAAATCGTAAATCACTGCAGCGCAGACCCGTCAAAATTATGGTATTCGGATTGATATTTTCAATGAATTCGTATTCAAATTCAAGTGTTATAAGTATTCGAATATTGGTGGTTTAAAAACTAAACAGAACATTTTAAAAATAGAGAAATGATAAACCCACAATGAAATGATAAAAAAATAATAAAATATAATTATTTTTAATAAATTTATTATTATGTTAAATTTTAAATGAGTTTTATTATTATCAAAACCCAACCATATTAATTAGTGCCAAAAACCGCTCTCAAGAGAGTTTTTCCGATATTTTTCTAAGATGCAAATCATCATATTCTAGGTTTCCCTTCACAAATTATCAATTAGTAGCGTCTACATATACAAAAGTGAAAAAAAAAATTAACAAAACCATTTATGCAGTTTAAAAAAAAAACCAGTTTTATACGTGAAAGTAAGATGCGATGGACCAAATTTGGGTAGTTTAGCCGATAAAACATAGATACAAAGCGTATGTTTTGTTGCGAATTTGAACCTCAACTTTAGAAAATGAATGTATAATCCAAATCACATGGCGGGTTCTCGATCCCGAGATTAGTTTGGATCTTGATTCATGATATTCGGTTATCCAAAAAATATGAATTAAGATGATATGAAGTAAAAACCAGTTACCACCCATAGATAACGATGGATCAATGTAACATTCAAGAACTAACCAACCATCTCAGAAGCATTCAACGAGGAGGCGGTGGAAAAAATAGCTTTAGGACAATGGTGTCAACACATGGTTCGTGTCTGTGTTCCAAATCTGAATACTATGATGAATTGAAATCGCAAAACTCAAACCCTCTCCCAAAAAAAAAATCGAAGAGGGCAAGGCCGATGTGAGTTTTTGGATCAAAAAAAAGTTAAGGAACGTATGCTATGATGATCCAATACAACATAAAAACGACGCAACTCGAGAGACTAATTAAAGGACTGTGAACTTAGGAGGGAATACGTGGAAGCTGCTGTCACAAAGGGAAGGTTCCGGTGAGACGGATATGATCGAGGGTACAACGCAACCCGTACTTACATACGGCAGCCTTAGCCGCTCTGAAGCCTCCTCCATACGCAGGGGACGCATCGTGAGCTATCTGATGCTTAAAGAACTCCCCCAGCTTTTTCTCCACGTTGGATTTTCCGCCTTTCTTATACGACGATGACCGTGATGATGATGATGTGGATGGCAAGTTCCTTGAAGAAGGGTCTGAGAGAACTTCAGACTCAAGCCACATGTAAGAGAGAACCTGGCAAATACCTTCCTCTACCTCGGGATTAAGGTTCCGGTACCCTGTTTGCCAAGTAATCAAGATTTCGGAAATCATCTCAAGGAAGATAATACCGAAGATTAACTTAACTCGTTACCTTTCAGACGTAGCCAACCGTGCATCAATTCATGGGCGAGTATAGCACCTGTTAGTAACCTTTATCCACCAAAGAATATTTTTTTAAAACGAGAACAAGAGATCATTAGTTCATCTAATTAGTCCGATGTTTTTTGTGGCTGTCCCGACGAAGTTTATGATGAAAACTACCTCGGGAGGCCGTAAAGAACGAGAATCGCAGTGACTTCACACTTGCGTGTAAGCTTGTGAGGCTGAGTTCTTGTCCCGACAAGACGGTGGCCGCCAAGTCTTGGCCTTCTAAGAACCTGAGATTTTGTTACAGGAATTGTCAGTATAAGCATGTGTGGTTGGTTCTGATAGAGTTTGATTCACTTACACTTGTCACTGTTTGCTCTTCCTAAAGGCACTGACCCCGAGTCTCGGGCA